TTCACCTCTGAAGTCTCTTAACAAGATTCATTCCAGAACTTCTTCACCTTTGGTTTAAGATCTTGATCAACAGTCGAATGATGCAACCTTGATTTTTATATGCCTACTTAACTCTGACTTCATTACTCCTGGAATGTCATCATTTGTGGCCTCGTGCACAATCTGCATATAAAAGTATAGCAAGAATTTAAAAGTTTATTTCCAACTTTGATCACCCTTTTGGGGACAAGAGCAATTTGGCATTTCTGATAAATAATGGTAAAATGGTGCCTCCATTTCTTGGATGTAGTTCAGAAAGTAGAAAGTAGTTTCTATTTATATAATCCTATATCAGAAACTTTGTTAATATATAATGTGCAAATCACAAAAGCAATGCTGTGTTTTGCCCTAATTAGTGAAAAGCAGAAGTAGCATCTTATTCGAAGTAGTATGAGACATTTTCTCTCAGTGCTACATTTGGGGTATTTACTTTTTTCAGACACTACCAAGGTGTTATAAGAATTCATAGTTAAATTAACATCTTAGGTCCTGTCAAGATGGATCGTTGTTCTACAAACTCTTGTTTTTTTTCTGTGTTATTATTCTTTAAAAAGAAAGAAGATAAAACTAAACCAGGGAAGAGAGCAGCAAGATAGAAAGCGAAGGTTTGTGGATTAAAGCACAATAGCAGTTGATCAAGCCTTAAATGAATAAGTATTGAATGCACTTAGGGCAGGGCAGGGAGAAAGACTTTTTAAGGGATCAGACACAGAAAAACACGGACTTGTGGTAAGAGAAATGAATGTCTTATTAGTTTCAGTCAATGTAATTCGATGAGTTCAGATTTTACTATCTTGGGAAGAGTAAGTCATGTGAGTATTAAAGCTAAATTGCAGGCTGAGCCCCTGTTTGAAAAGTAAGCATTCTATAGCCCCCTTCCTCACCATTTTTTGCCTGTGAAAGGTTGATGGTATTTTTGTTCCAATTTCATCATAAAAAGGACTTATTTCTATCTCTTCTGAAAATGGCAGATAAGTAATACTGTTGATCATACCAAGGGCCCACTTCCCAAGTCTTCCTAGAGAGATTCTATACTTCATGCTGGTGAAAAAAGAATGGCCTTTTCCAGCCTTAGAGTTTCATAGTAATACTGGGTATGTTCTGGATCCCAGAGCACCCTTGTGAAAATAGTCCCAGGAGGTCTTTAGTTTTTCCCTCTCTCTGTTGGGTGCAGAATCATGCCTAGAAGTGGATAGAAAAAGGCAACCTGCCCCACTTCCCTTTGTTTACTTTCTCCCCCACGCTTTTTCAAGCCTTGCATAAAACCAAACCAAACACCACCACCATTCTCCTCACTCTGTTAGGCTCACAAGGGTCTTCATGTAAGAGATGTGCTCCTTGGGGGCTGGGGACTGGATGGTAGGTACTACCTAATCAACATTTTAATTAGAAGTACTAAAATAGAATATAAAGCACTTGGTCATGGTCACAATTTCTGAGGGACTTCCCTACTTAATACCATTGATCAAATTAGTTTCTTTTATGTTTTGTGCCATAAAATAGAATTCTTCTTCTTCTTCTTTTTTTTTCTTTTTCTAAAACTCTATTCTATAAGAAGCACAATCTTGAGACTAATTTATTTTTAAATATTTAAATTATGAAAAGACTCAAAGATACAAAAAGAACAGAAGCTGACTTTACCCATCAATGGAAACCATTATCTTAAGGTGGTGTATATCTTTTCAGAATGTGCAAAAACATATGAATATGCACATGTATTTAAAATATGCACAGAACTTTTTTGCGTGTTTTAAAATTTCTCACAAATGATTTTTCAGTTTGCTTTACTCACTCAAACTTTGACCTCAGTACTTACTTTAGTATATTGGCTACCCCCAATTCACATCCCTAATCCCATTTTGTCCCACACAGATGTACTGCCTATGGATTTAGAGTGAGCAATTCACAGTGATTCCCTTGAGTTAGAGAAACCAGAGTTCGGTAAGGTTCAGCTTATTGACAGAACTCCATTAAAGCTGTTATTTTCTTTCTCTCTCTCTTTTTTTTTTCTTTTAAATAATTGTTTTCTTTAACTTTATTTATTTATTTTAATTTGACTAGAGAAGGACAGAGTAATAGTGAGAGAGAGAGTGAGAAAGCAAGCCACCAGGTCCAGGACTCAAACCATGGTCAGCCACATGGGAGTCCAACACCCTTAAACCACCACATCACCTGCTGGCCCCTAAATCTGTTATTTTCATTCTCAAGTGTTTCATAACTCTTAACTGTTAGAACACGAAACCTGACAAGAAGCAACGGTAACCATAGAGACACTAAGACAGTCCTGCGACTCCAGTATACACTTACAGTATTCTTAATCAACATCTCTTTAAAGCTACTATTGGGATATGCCCTACTGCATACTCACTTTTTAAGACTGGAAAGCTTCAATTTGCTAGATTTTGTCAAAGTGCCACCAAAATGAAATATACCCACTTATACTTTGATCTGCAGTAGAAGAGTTCCCTTTGGTCTCCAGACTCAGTAAGATTAATAGTATGATATTTTAATTAGTTTGCCCATTCCAACAGGAGAAATGAAATGATAGCTCACTGTTTATGCTATAATTTTTGTAATTACTAGTAAAATTAAGCATCTTATGTATTTATTACTGAGTTTATTTGTGAATTGAGTATGCTGATCTTTTATTTACTTTTCCATCTTTTTCTTTATTAATTTGTAAGACTATTTACCCTGTGTACATATATGAGTATTAATCCTTTTACCAGTTATGTGATAGGACCAAAACATTGTATGCATTGGGACTGGCACATGGCATGGTGGTTAAGGGTGCTGGACTCCCACATAGCCTTATGCTGTTAGAGTCCCGGACCTGGTGGCTTGATTTCTCACTTTCTTTCTTTCTTTTTCTTTCTTTCTTTTTTT